CTCTTCTAAAGAATGCACAAATGTGTTTAATCGTTAATGTCAGATAAGTACTAAGTAAATACATTTGTTCCTGCTCAAGATTAGATTCAACTTTATTGTTATTGCACAGATTACAGGTACTGAGACAACGAAATGCAGTATAGCTTCCAACCAGGAGTGCAACAAGCAGTAAAGTGAAAAGTAATGTACACAATCTACAGGATAAAATATAGAATGAATTGAATGATGAATAAACAGTGAGGGGTATGAATACACTAGATATACACAGCAGCCTGTGAGCAGTATGAACAGTGTGTATGAATATGCTAAGATATATAAAGTATGAAAACGGTAAGCAGATATAGATATTAATTTCATGATGATAAACATTGTGGAACAATGATGAAAAATGTGAATGGAAGTGACTGACACAAAACAACAACAAACTTTTGCCGAGCCAATGGAGAGCTTCATCAGCAGCACGGGGTAAAAACCACCAATGAGCGCTCAGCTCGAGATACCAGCGAGTCGTTTCCCATCAAGCATTTCGCTTCCGCAGCCCGTGGAGAGGAACTGCGCCGCCTCGCCGCGCCTCGCTCTCAAGGCTGCGGGCGTCTTTGTCCCGCGAGATTTCAACGTCTCATGTGAGCGAGCCTCCAGAGCAAGTCGGACAAAATGACTAACCCTCATGCAACGCACTAGCAAGACGTTGATCGCAACTGCGCAGGTCTGCGCAGGTCTCGCTTGTCTCAAACAAGCCTGTTGATCGAAATTGCGCAGGTCTCGCTTGTCTCAAACAAGCCTATTGATGTGACCAGCATCCAGCCCAGTCACGTGAAACGCGTGGAGGCTTTCTATTTGCTTAGAGTTTTTGCAACCTTTAGTTGCCAGGTAACACTGCACAGTGGCATTTCAGGAATTGTAGTTCAAATAAGGTCGCCTCCTCCTTACTGATCACACATGGTCTGAGAGAAGAAACTACGTATCCCAGAATGCACGACTTGAGGAAGTGCCCTCCCATTTTGAGCACATGACTTGTGGTACTCCAGTGAGCCACAACAACAGTAATATTTGTTCGACTAATGGGTTGTCTGGCTAGTATTTCATATTCTATCGTTTGCTTGTTATTTAAAAAATGAAGCTGCCATGTTTAGTTGTTGCACTGTGCTTCGGAGTAGGTGTAATGGCCGGGAAATACTCACGCGACGTGAACGAGCCCAAGTCTAGTGATGGGCAGAAGCTGGAATTTAGGATAGCTAAATTGGACCAGGTGTGGAACAAGGCTAACAGGGTACGTATATTTCAGATACTATTATCTGTACTGTTAATGTGAAGCTGTAGCAAACTGCTGACAGTAGCAGCACGTTTAGCTGTCAGTGAGTTAACAGAGTAACCTAGCTAACGCTGGCTACTGCCCGTCTTCTCTGTAGTACAGTTGTAATAGTAGTTGACTTAATGAAGATATAGCATTACGTTTTAATAAGACAGTGAGATGCACTTTTACTTTCCACAAATGCAGAGGCTCAAGTGCACATTATGGACTATGTCTTTGTTTGTTATGGTGGAAGTTAGGAATTCAAACCACAATGTTATGTCCTTTTATGTCTTAAACTTACGAAATGTTGCATTGTTGAAAAAAAGCCTGGGATTAAGATTCTCATAACCAGAAGCTAAACTGGAACTGTTGTGCAAATTAAAAAACTTTAAATCCTTGGAGGAGGGGGAATTAAGGTGTGTGTGTGTGTGTGTGTGTGTGTGTGTGTGTGTGTGTGTGTGTGTGTGTGTGTGTGTGTGTGTGTGGTCAATTAATTCGTATAATTTTTAACTTTCATTTACAGAATTAAAAGAGTCAATTATGTGCCCTCCTTGTCACCCATTTAGTGGTTCACAAAAGAAGACTGTAGTATGCTATTTAAAGTAATAATGACTATAACAAACTGAGTGAGTGTGATTTTTTTTTTAAGAGAGAGCCTTTTCTTAAAATGGTAAGACCAATTTCATACTTTGAGAAATCACTGTCTGGTTTTCTTCCTTCCTTACCCTTCACTGTCAAATTAGTTTTCCACTTTTGTCTTACCAAAGTTGATGTTGTCGTCTCTTATTCTCCTTTTGTTCATGACAGATGCAGCTCTCTCCCGTGCGGCAGTCCGAGCTGCACAGTGATCTGAAGATCCAGGAGAAAGATGAGTTGCAGTGGAAGAAGCTGAAGGTGGAGGGGCTGGATGAAAACGGAGAGAAAGAGGCCCAGCTCCGACGTAACTTTAATGGTGAGACAGCTCATTGAAGTAAAAAGCATTTCAAATGAGAAAGTAATACTAATGCCTACCTTAAAAATATGCGGTATTAATCATATCTCATTGTATCAAAAGGCTCCAGTCCGTCTCTGCTCTTCCAAACATAGAAAAGGTTAAGACAGTGGATATTCGCTCTTGTGTGAAACCTCATTAGTGTTGTGGTTTACATACAAAGCCACTCGCCTAAAAAGATCACATTTTTCAGCAGATTGAGGTGAGTTTTATTTTAGTCAAAGCACAAAGCTTGTGAATCTTCAACAACAGGATAGTTAATCATAAAGGCCTTCTTTTTTTTTTTTGGTTGGCATTTAAAGTTAAAGGGTAAATAATAATGGGACAAAACGGCATAATAAGGAATACAGAGTTTGTTAGTGTAATTTGTGTAATCAACTCTGCCCTTTGGCTGACAGTATAGATAATGTATTACTTTGGTGCTGCTGCATCAGCCAAAAAGAAGAACTATAATTCCTCATCCCTGTCAAAGTTAGGCTGTTGGCAAGGCCTCTTTACAAGAGCTCCTTCTGAAACTGGAGCATATACAGGACTGTCTCAGAAAATTAGAATATTGTGATAAAGTTCTTTATTTTCTGTAATGCAATTAAAAAAACAAAAATGTCATACATTCTGGATTCATTACAAATCAACTGAAATATTGCAAGCCTTTTATTATTTTAATATTGCTGATTATGGCATACAGCTTAAGAAAACTTAAATATCCTATCTCTAAATATTAGAATATCATGAAAAAGTATACTAGTAGGGTGTTCAACGAATCACTTGAATCGTCTAATTAACTCGAAACACCTGCAAGGGTTTCCTGAGCCTTGAAAAACACTCAGCTTGGTTCAGTAAACTAAATCACAAGTATGGGGAAGACTGCTGATCTGACTGCTGTCCAGAGGACCGTCATTGACACCCTCCATCAGGAGGGTAAGACACAAAAAGAAATTTCTCAAAGAGCAAGCTGTTCACAGAGTGCAGTTTCAAAGCACATCCACAAAAAGTCTGTTGGAAGGGGGAAATGTGGCAGGAAACGCTGCACAACCAAGAGAGATGACCGCAGCCTTAACAGCATTGTGAAGAAGAGTCGCTTCCAGAATTTGGGGGAGCTTCAAAGACAGTGGACTGAA